TGGACGTCACAACAAGCTTATCCGTCTCTTTTCCCCATATCTTTCGAGAGGCAAATGACATTGCGGATGCTCTGGCTAAAGGGGGGACCTCGCTTTCTTCCCTTATTGTTTTTTACGATGTAATTTTTTTTTAATATTAATGGATTTTTTGAATCTTGGTCAAAAAAATAAAATTGATAGTTCATGGATCACTTTAAAAATATGGATGAGATGAGATTGAATCTTTTATAGTGTTTCAAATTTTGGATCGTTCGGAGGCATCCGCTCTGGCTCTCACCTATTAAATGAGATGTTTTTGTAGTTCAAAATAAAAGTTACAGATTTTGTGTGAGAAATCAAGGAAATTTAGGCCTAAACTAATATTGGATTGGAGAAGTATATAAAGAGATCATTATTTTTAGTACAAAAAGGTCACAATCACTCTTATTTGTTAGATTTCATCCGGTAGCTGTAAGTATATCACTGACTAGACTCGAAGTTGAAAATAAATTCTTGAATTTTGTGACACACCTCAAGCCATCTAATTTGACATCTAATGGCCATAATTGATTGTGACTTCCTTATAAAAATGATGAATCGTCTCGTAGTAAACAATATCTATTATATCATCTCGAACAGCTCTGAGCCGCCTCATAATTTTCAATTAATTGAGGCATCTTTCTATCTAAGATGCCGTATCAAATTACGGTCAAACCTTGGAAACGTGAGGTGAGTGCAAATGGTGAATTGAACGGAGGAAAGATAAACAAATAGAGCCACACCTACACTTAAAGGGCCTATTTGGGTTGATTGGCTGAGGGCTTATGAGGTTTGCTTGCATTCATGACAGACACACACCCCTTCTTTCTTTTCATGTTCTAACCTCCCATTTGATATCCGTGACTGTCCTAAATCTAAAGTGAAAAAGAAATAAAGAAAGAAGGGGAGTTGTACCACTTTTATCTTTTCCTAACTTTAACCTTGTTACCGTATAAGGGTGGCAGCTGGTCGAGCCTGGGCCGTCTACCGGGCTGCGGCAAACAGCACCGGCATGGGCCTTAGCCCGACGTTAGGGCCACAGGCCAAGACCTACATTTTTAGGGCTGGTCCAGTCAGGCCATGCCGAGCATTTATACTTTATTTTGAAATGAAAAGAGCATACTATGCATTTGCTCCCTCGGCCAAAACTCCGACCTAACATTATAAATATTCTTAACTAACCCAGACACACTGCATGGGCCCCTTCTTCCCTTTCTTTTTCTTTTTTGCTACTTCGCAAGCATAATATTTTAGAATCCGTGTGGCCCTATTCTGTCCCTCTCATATTTTGATTATTTCTTCCTCAATAATTTTACTAATTAATTGGTTAATATTTTATAACCTTTTCTTCTACGTAATGTTGCTTAAAACGTATCCAGATTGCCATTGTTTTAGGTTTTTAACTCCCCTTGAGTGAGGGTATTTTGGTTAATTGACCTACTTAACCCAAAATATGTCGTTTTATTATTCAATTTAGGAAATTGTTTCATGCCGTAGGAACTGCATTTCTACATTTGTTGTCCTCAAGGTATAAAGCATCCCTCTCAAAGCTGGATGCAAATAGGTGGTCCATCTAAAGACGATTGAAATTAATGATCCAAATGTTTTTTTAATGTAATTATTATTTTTAATTTTCAAAATTTATTTATTTATTCATAATCATGATCTCCATTTTAGAGATTATATGTCCTTAATAATTAGGTTAAAAAAGAAATATTCAAGAGGTGACTCATTTCTACATGGAATCATAGAAACCGTGGCACTTCCATAAAAAAAGAAGTTGATGTAAGGAGTCCACTTCATACTATCACAATAAAAACTACCTCAAATACCCACAAAAGAAGGTTGTTTTGATGCTAAAAAGAGATTTAAATTAAACATCTCAACCTCAAGATGAATGGATAATTAAAAAAAAAAAAAAAAGATTTGAAGTCCTCAAAAAATAGTTCATCTTATAACATATTTTGGAGCATCCATTTTCAAGATTTGTAAAGCGCTTATAAATTTACTTGATTTGCATATTTTGTGGAACTTTAAATTTTATAAGTGGTGGTGGAAATAGATTTTCAGTTCATTATAAGACTAGAATTGCATCTTCCGACAAGGTTTCAAGGTTTCACCTTGCTTTAATGGTTTAAGGCTAATGTCTTATATAAATTATACCCTTTAATAACATGCATCTAATTATACTATTTAACAACAACAGCAACAACAACAATAATGATATATAAATAAATAATGTCTTGATTTTGAAATTCAAAATGACCACCCTCCCTTGTTCAGAGTTTGTGCTTTGGAAGAAAATTGTTGAGGTTCCCACCTGAAACGAGTTTTAAACAACAACCTCCTTGTTGGTAAATTACTAGTTTTAACCACTTAATTGAAATTTTGAAGTGATTTGAATATTTATTCCATATTTCCCCTTGCTTTTTACGTTATATTATTTCAAGTAAAATAAATAATTTCTCACCAAGAATTATTCTCCCCTAGAGTCCATTAGCTAGTATCATATGGCATTGGGAGATAATGAAGTTCCCTCATTTGAAATTCAAAAACAAAAAGTTCCTCTCGCTAATGTGATCGTTGAAGAAAGCGTCATCTCCCACAACTCACAAAATTAGGCCCTATGCTTCCAAAACACCATCAAACATTCTTTTTCTTTGATTCCAAACCCCTCTCTGTGTGTCTCTCTCTCTCTCTTTTGTGCTCCTGCAGGGGTATACTGTTCATTTACTCCATTAATTAAAACTCAATCTAGCAGTAGTTTTTAGTACTCCAAATTTTGGGGGTATAATTTCTTCAGCCCATAAATTAACCTCAAAAAAGAAAAAAAAAATCCAAATCTCTCTCTTTATGTATTTATAAAGATTATGTGTCACTTTAATAGTGACGTTCAATTCTTGGAGCGTGAGATCTAAGTATTAAAAAACTCAAAAATCCCAAATTTTTTCCTTTTGATAAAAATCATCTATAGATTATTAGACAGCTACTCAAATTTGAGATCGACAAAAATCTCCCAAAGAAGTCTTTTGCCTGAGGGAGTAAATATATAATATGCTCCCACTGGATTGTGTCAAGGGTACTCTATGTATATTATGGAAACAGTTTATATAAGGATGCTAGAACTAAGGATGCCCCTCAAAAATCCATCGGAAAAGATAGTTTTAATGTTGAAAAACTCTTTGATTGATCATCTCGACATTCATATGTATGACGATAAAAAATAAAAAGATTTTAAGTATAAAAAATAGTACATTTTACAACATATTATCTGCACGGTCCAT